CATGACATGGTGGCTTTTTAAAAATTTGTGGGTGCTCTTCCCATGATAATTTGCCATTGCTCACCATGGTTAACGGCAACCCAAATCTTAACTAAATTTAGGACATTTTTAAGTCTCCGTGTCCTCTCAGCGGCTACTGACCATTTTAACTCTCTCTACCTTTGGCTTCTGGCTTTTCTCCTGCCTGACTATCCCCCATGTCCCATTGGAGGCTTCCTCTCTATGCAGCCCTTACATGTGCGAGTTGCAAGGGGCTTGGTCTGCGGCTTCCTTCCTGCTCACCATTCACTTCTGCCATCCCTAGGTGACCTCATCTGGACTGTACTTAGTCATCGTCCTTACACGTTTGTATCCCCCTGCACTGCCCCTCCTGAGTTCTGGACCTTCATGTCAGCACCACCAGGTGCCTCCCTGTGGGTGTCTCAAAGGCACCACAAATGTAATGCATGAGAAGTGCATCTCTGCCCCCATTTGAGTTCTACATCCATAACCTTCCCCACGGCGATCATTTCTGCTGGCAGAAACCACAGTCATCCTTGGCACTGCACGTGCTCTCCCTCTTCATGTCATCTGTCACCAAGCCCACTCTGCTTAGCTCTGAAGTATCTCTTTAGCCTTCACTTTATTTCCCTACCCACCGCCTGAGAGCTTCCCTGCCACCTCTCACAGGGGCCTCTGCAGTCACCACGCAGCAGCTCCTAACATTCCCTGGCCTCAGTTTAACCACACTTCCCCTTGAAACCTACCCTGTGTTCCAGGTCCATGTTGGGTCCACCCATCAGGCTCTGTCCTACAAGACAGCTCCCTCTAGAATAGCAGAGACCTGATCTGGAGCCCAGTAACAAGTGAGGACTCACTGTATAGGCGAATGATCAGTCCATCCCCAGTTCCTCCCTCCACAGGCTCTGCTCCGTCTCTTCAGGGGAAGGTCTCCTTCCCCACCAGTGGAAGAACATGGCTATAGGCACATCACTCTGTTTTCTTTGTAGGCCTGTGGAAGATGGAGCCACACTGGGAGGCCCTGCCACTCCTGCCAGAAAGGCACGCTCTGCCTCATGACATTTGAATCACTTTGCAACAAGTGGTTGATTATAGAGCAAGTTTCCTACCAATGTGTTTTGAATGAATACGTAGCAGTTGGGATTTTGAGGTAGCTTGTTATCTGAGTTCCTCATCCAGTCCTTACTCAGAGAGGAAGGATGTAAACCATGCCCCAAACACCGTGGGAGTTGCTCTCTATTTTAATGTGAAAGCCCCAGTGGGTGGTGGAGGTTTACCAGTTACCTAAGTACAAAGAGGGCCAGCGAAATTGTAACTGTGGCCTAGAGCAGGGGCTTCAGTGAGGAAAGAGCAGCCTGGGGACATTCTCAGAGATTTCTGTTGCCTTTTAGTGTCCCAGATGGGATTGGTGCTGTCCACTACAAAATATCTTCGTTTCTCCTCTACAACAAGTAAACAAATCCATAAAAATCCCTCACATGTGTAGACAACCTTACAGTTTTATAGTGTTAACTCGTCATCTTACGTGGGCTGGGGTTTATGCGACCACTTTATAGGTGAGAAGCTGTTCTCTGGGGAGGTGGGCACCAGCAACATCCAGGGTCAGCCCTGTTAACCTGGCCCTCGTGGGCAGGTAAAGCAGTCACAAGTTACAGGGACCAGGAAGCAGCAGGCACATTGAACTACCTGTGCCTGTTGCCACCGTGCACAGAAAGCAGCCGGGGAAAGTGCATCCCAGGCCTCCTGCAAGCCCTTCTGTGGAGTCCAGGCATGGAGCACAGAAGAAGGTGGGAGATGGCGAGAGGCTGATTCTAGTGGCATTCTGTGAACATGTTTGTCCCACTCTGGTCTTTATCACCAAAGAAACCCAGTTAAGGCACTGGGATCACTGCTGTGCCCTGGAAGTCTGGAGCCTACTTGTGGTCTTGGGCTGCAGCCCCACATGTGCATGGCAGTGCTTGGAGGACAGATGTGCAAGCAGGCGCTTGCTGGGCACTAGGCACGGCTTTGGGATGAATGGTCTTCATCGAGTGGGAAGGGAGCTGGCTCCTGTGGGAACAGTCATTCCTCTGGCTGTTTAATACAATTTTGTGCCTTTTGTATGTACATTTATTTCTATTAAATCTCTCATTATATTAATGGGTTGCAATAGCTATGAAATTAAGAGCCCCAGAAAGAAAACCAGGGCAACTTTCCTGCCTTCACCGTGCTTTTCAGCCCCAGAGACCCAGCTGTGCTGTTTGTACACCTCTGTATTCTGTCTGCATAATTGTTTAGTAGTTTGATTTTTCAGCCTTAAACATTAAAAACAAAAAAATAGATGGGGAGCAGAGGGTGCTCTCTTAGGCTGAAGGCTTTCCCCACTTCCTTTGAAGTACTTCAATTTCAAAGTCTGGTTCATTCCCCCAGGGTCTCTCTGGACCAGGTTAGGGGGTGGAGGGCTGAGGGGTACTCAGAGATCTCACTTGGGCTTGGTGCTTGTTGACCTCATTGTCTGCTGGGTAGGATGCCCAGCCTGGCTTCTCTCCAGTCTCCTGGAGGGTAAGGGAGGTGGTCACCCTGGCCAACTTGCCTGCGTTTGGGCTTGAGTTGTTTTGATTTGGAAGCCTTGTTGTCAGGTACTTAAAAGTTAACTCCTCCTACCCTGGAACTCAAGGAGCCATTGTTTCCTCTTTCTTGAAATCGCTTTGCCATGTTCTCTTAAGTGAAATTGCTGCTCTGACTGAAGATTGCAGGTTGGGGTTGGGTTTGTCTTGAGGAAGCTGGGGAAGGCTGGGGTTTCCACAGCTGGGGATCTGGGGCGCAGCGGTTTCCTCTCGTGCAGGAGCCTTTGCTGTGAGGCACGGTGAGGCCAGGCACGTAGGCGACTCTGCCAGAGACGCCTGCCTTTCAGGGAGCTGGGGAAGGGGCCTGGCGGCAGGAAGTGGAGATTTGTTTTCCTCCAGAAGTGAATGTGACCTCTGGGGGCAAGGACTGGGAGTCCTCAGCCGCATATGCTGCCACTGGCCTTTCACAGAGAGCTGGGAATCATTAAGCAGCTTCTTGCCCTGCAGTCCATGGGATGATACCCAGTATTCTTGGCTCTTTCATTAGGGGCCTTAGTCATGGGGAGTAGGAATGCACGGTCGGCTTAGGACTTAGACCTGATTTTGAATAATCACCCAGATCAACTATGTGACCTGGGCCTCTCTGAGCCCCAGTCTCCTTAAACGCTCCTGGGTGATTGTGAGAATTAAATGACATACTGCCTGTCATACTGCCTGTAGGATGCTTGGAACAAGGGTTCCCATCCCTGCCCTCACTGCTGCCAGCCCAGCACCTTGGACAGGTCACTTCCCTTCCCTGGTCCTGATCTCCCAGATGGAGCTGATGCCAGCCCCTGGCTGGCTGCTTCCTGAGACTGGGATGAGATCAAAGAGGCAGGCTTGCTGCGCAGTTATCGGCTGTCACTCTCAGGCACCGGTTATTGCACCTTCATAGGAGGCGGTGAATGTTACTGTTCTCAGAACAGAGGCCCCTTGGAGGGCGGCCCGAGCCTGTCGGGAATGTAGCAGAGCTGTGTCTTCAAGGCTAGCAAGTGTGAGAGCACTATAGCACTGAGGCAGGGGATCTTCCTGGGCCCCATCATTTGGTGTCTCTGGACTGCTGGCAGATGTACTCTTAGGTGGCACATTTGCTGAAAGCTTCCTGGGACCTTTCCCTGTGACTCTTGGCAGGTTTGCATCCCTTTTTGCCATTACCTGGTCACTTTCCTCATGGTAGTCTATGAACAATGCCTCCCAGCCAGATCTGCAAGCTGAGAGCAGCAGATAATCAGGTTACCAAGGGGAAATGACCTCCGGAATAATTGTCCTTAGAGCTGCTGCCCTTCAGAAGGCTTGTATTTGAGTAAAGACCCCAGAGGGCAGTGTTCTGGGTGCCTGTGGTCAGGGGCCAGACAAGATTTATGAAAAGTCTCCACCGAAGGACTGGTCACCTGGCCTGGTCCCCATCCTCCCTGCCTGCCCTTTGTCCATGAGCTGCGGGTCCCCTCCTTGGTGTCAGGACCTAACCGCCTGTAAAAAGGGGGTCAGGGATGGCAAACTTGGTAAAACTCTATGCTAATAAGAATAACGCTAGTATTGTTCCATGATCGATCGCTTGTTCCTGGGAGGAGTAAGTACCCAGTGCTGGTGGTTTGCCTTCAGTAATAAAATGTGAGTTTCTCAGTCACCAAGGAAGCTAACTCTTGATGCAGTTGAAGGAGGCATGAAATCAGCATTGAGATGTAAAACATGAAGTGTTTGGGAGTGCTCTCTTTTTTATTTTGTGGTACTTACATAAAGTGTGTGAATTTCCAAAATTTAATTGTGTTTTATCTTCAAAAGGATTCTTGCAAATAAGGATAAAGGCTGTCTACTAGCTGAATTACATTATCATGTAATAAAATATTCTGAATGGTATGTTACTGTTTTAGTTGCAAATAATTTAATTTGAATAAGGGGTAAGGTACCTCTTAAAAGTCGAGGTGGTTCTCAGACAAGCGCACACAGCCCCAGTATTAATTGGCTCCTAATGCAAGATGGCAGTTGTTGATATCTTCAGAATAAAGTCCCTAATCTTTGTAAATATTTGCCTTGAGTCCCTAATAGAGGAGGTCAGGCTGAATCCGAACTTTTCTTAACTTAGACCTACTCCCCAGTGCCCTGCAAGGCTGCAGATCTGTGGGACATGTGCCTGAGCTTCTTCCAGATGAGTAGGGTGGCTCAACTGTTTGCCACTGGTGGCAGCAATCTGCAGGTGGTGTGTGGGGTGGAGTGGGGGAGTAGATAAAAGGGCCAGTCACTGACACCGGCCAGGTCTTGGGATGTGGCCTCCAGCCCACTGTGCTTGCTCCAGAGGCTTACCCTGCCCAGGATTTGAAGGCCATGTGGCATCTCAGACCAACTCCACCCTCATTAGCATTCTCCTGAGAAGATCACAGTGTGTGTTGCTTATGTGTTTTTCTTCTTTTTCTGCAGAATATTGACATTACAAACTTCAGCAGCAGCTGGAACGATGGGCTGGCCTTCTGTGCCCTCCTGCATACGTACCTTCCAGCCCACATTCCATATCAGGAACTGAACAGCCAAGATAAGGTAAGGCAGGCTGCGAAATGGCCCAGTTCCTGGCTTCTTCATTTCAGAGGGGAAGTAGGGGTGAGAAATAGAGGCAGAGCCTTCCATCGATGGGGGCCACACAGTTGGCATTCCACACACCACAGTGCTGGCTTGTGATGGCCCTGTTCCGGCTTGGTCTTATTCCGGGTCTAGATTATTTGTGCTGAGCCAGCCAGTCTCTGACCCACCTTGTGTGGGATGTTTGCCGGGTTCAGAATTCCCCAAGTAATGACATTCCTAGTGGGAGCCGTCAGTCCTTCCTGGTGATAACATTTAAGACCAAAGGCTTCACCAAGAACTGGCCAAGAAGAGTTGCTCAAGGTAGGAGCAGCTTGGCAGCACCCACCATACCAGGCCAGTCTCACACCTCCTCCAGGCCCAGGACTGGCTAAAAGCACAACCATTCAGGCCAGGCTGTGGTCTGAGGCATCCCATTCAGGGAGCTGCTTGGGGAGACAGGGTCAGGGGACAGCCCCTGCCCAGATGGGCACTGGGAGAGGACCCAGGCTCAAGCTCTTCTCTGGTCCCTTGTGCACCCCAACATTAGCCCCCTTGTACTCTTCAGACAAGTGTTGAAGGTTCCCACAGGGAGGAAATCCTTGGCATGTGTTTCTTACTAGCTTTGGGGGTTCAGATGGCTGAGCCGGTATGTTGGAAGTGACCCCTTTCTGTAGTGAAGAAGGAACAAGTGCTGGGGGCCATTCCGCAGCTGCTCACAAGCGAAGTAGGCAGGGCTCTGTGAGGGGGGGTGGGGAGCACGCTGCTAGGCTCCTGTAGTTTGCTTTGGTACCACGGGGAGGTGTGCATCCATCTTTCCCCAGCATCATGTGTAGTCCAGATCCCCTTTATCCTGGCCTTGCTTGTCTACTCTGGTCACACAGTTTCTTTTGCAGCGAAGGAACTTCACCCTGGCCTTCCAGGCGGCTGAGAGCGTTGGCATCAAATCCACGCTGGTAAGTGAGCCCCCACTTCCTGAGGAGTCACTGCCAGGGCCCTCCTTTTTGTTAGGAAGTGCTCGCTTCTTGTTACTGGAGGTGCCAGCAGGTGTGGGGCCTGATAACAAGTAGGCAATGCAGGCTCCATGCCAGCTGAGCAACTGCCCTGCTGGGTGAGGGTGCAGACGGGATTTCACCCCTGCCCCATGGGCACTTTATGCCTCACAGGAACTATCCCAAGGAAGTGCCCCAAGTCGTGTGGGTCGGTCTTAATTAAAGCCCCAGTGACCTTGAGCCAGATTCTCCCTTAGGGTCCCCTCCTGAACTGAATCCTTGGAGTCAGAAGAAAAATGCTAGCAAGTTTATAAGTGTCACTGTCAAAGGCACATTCCAACAGTCTGTCTGAACTTGCCAAACTAGAGGGAGAGGCGAATGCTGAGTCGCGGAAGGTGGCTTTAGAGGCTGAACAAGTGCTTCCGCACTTCGTAAGGGTCATGGGAAACTGTCCCCCGTGGTGCGAGAAATGAGTTGTAGAAAACCCGTGTGTTTCAGGGACATGTTTAGGCCTCTGCTCAGCGCCTGCAGCAGCTCATGACAGATGTGCCTCTGCCAGGCTTTTGCCTCGTCACCAATTTTGACTCTCTGGGAGAAAATACCAAATCCAAAGGCAAAGCCAGCCCTTTCACACCTGGGGACACTGCCATTAAATAAACTGTACGGAAGGGTTTATAGGATCATCCATGCACAGCTCGGGATTTCCACAGAGTAAAGAACCCATGGGGCCAGGTCAGCAATTCCAAAGTCTCCCTTGGGTGCCACCTCCCCACCCCAAGGTACCCATCATCCTGACTTGTAAAAACAGGATAGCTTTGAATAAGGATTCACACTGCAAGAGTGTTCCTGTAGAGTTCCATGAATATTTCTCCTGAATCCAGAGAGATTTTTTTTTAGGGTGGCTTCTATTCAGTTATATACAGAGAGAGAAAAGTGACCGTTATTAAAATATTTTCCATTGTCTGGCTATTTTACATTGCATGGTAAAGTTCTAATATACAAAACGTGGGTGGTTCCGCACCCTAAAAAAACCTTTCAGTCAAGATTCTTACACTGAACAAACATGTTCTTTTTACTGTACCAAGTCACCGGCGGGTGGCCTTTCCATCCTCACCCTGGGAGCCATTCAGAACGACTGCTCTCTTGGAGAGTCACAGACGCTCTTCTGCAGCACCTGGGCTCTTGGAGGCCTCCGGTCAAATAATGTCTGGGGTTTCCTACGTTCCTTCTACAGTTAACGTCTCACAGGTCACTGGTATTCTGCAGAATACAGTTAGAGAACAGTACCTCTGATCATTTGAGGTGACTGCTATCGTGAAGGGAATTAGAACATTAAGTTCTGGGAGCCCTTGCCACACAGGCCCTCCCAGGACTGTGACGGGTGAGAAGGGCTCTCAGAAGCGACCACAGGGCCCGGCCGGGCGTGGCTCAGCAGTTGAGCATCGACCTAGGATCCAGGCGATCAGGGTTCGATTCCCGGTCAGGGCACATGCCCAGGTTGTGGGCTCGATCAATGGCTCTCTCATCATTGATGTTTCTCTCTCTCTCTCCCCCTTCTTTCCTCTCTCTGAAATCAATAAAGATATATTTAAAAAAAAAAAATTCATATAAATGTGTATGTTTGAGAAGGTCTACAAAGGAGGCCTGAACTCTAACCTGAAGTGGTTGGACCAGTGATGCGACGGAGCCAGTTCGTGGCCTGACTCACAAGCGCCAACCGTGCGCATCTCTTCCTGATTCCACGCTCAGTGGGGTCCTCTTGGTAGTTTGAAATGGGCTGTGATGGGATAATTTATACTATAGAAGTTGGCAGATGCCACAAAGCAGGGCTTTTTCCTTCCCGCAGGGAACCAGCTTTTAAATATTTACTTGCTACCAAGAGTTTAGCTAAGCTACTCCATGGTGCTATGCCTCAGCATCCATTTGGCTTGGCCAAGAGGCCTGCAGGGACCTTAAACTGACACTAGCACAGGCACAAGCCCTAGAGAGCAGCTGAGAGTCCCAGCAAAAGTAAGTCCTGATATGACTCTCCCAGCAGCCCTGGTGATCAGCAGTCTCCCCTGCCTTCCAGCGCCTATATGCCTTATGTACCCTTAGATAAGAATCCCCCGCATTGGGCTTATCAAAATTCTGCTCTTTTGGATTGAACTGGCCAATCTGACCCTAGCCCAGGAACCCCAAAGCACTCCAAACTAGGACCTTATTAAAAATATGTGCCCAGCCCAGCCAGGCGTGGCTCAGCGGTTGAGCATCGACCTGGGATCCAGACGACCATGGTTCGATTCTGGTCAGGGCACATGCCCGGGTTGCGGGCTCGATCAATGACTCTCTCATTATTGATGTTTCTGTCTCTCTCTCTC